CTTGACGTCGACGTACAAGCCTCGCCGTTCTACAAAGTACATACTTGCTGAATACTGGCATCGATTAATCAAATGATAATGAGGTAAGAAATGCAGCTAATCCTGATTCGCATGCATTTTGACAAGTAATAAGAACTGTTGTTCGATGAGTTCTACCACTATACACATATGGGTCTGTGATCATTTCCCTCGCATTTACTTGTAAATTGCTCTATGGTACTGAAGGATCGATGAAGCAACTTTCGAGAATAAATTGCCTACTCCACACGAATTTAGGTACATTACTTATTAAACAATCTTGAAAGAAATAGACGTTGCCACCAGCATTCTTGACAACGATATTCACCGTTTGAACGCAAATCTTAACGGCACTTTTGACATTTTTGTTCAGCCGGATCTAAGCATTGTGAAGCGATGACACTGTAGCTGCTGATACAGTCGGTTTTAAACTTTGAGGTCGCGGTTTCGAATCCAAGAATATAAAAGTTTCTCTTAACCGGTAATAACCTTGAGCAAGCAATTCACGCAGGGTTGCTGCAGTGTAATCAACCGCGAAACGAACAGTAAGTAACTGACTAGTGAACAACAAAAACAGGGATAGTGTTCTATTGCGCTCGTACCAGAATAAACGGAAGGAACCGCTATACTGTTTTATGCGAGGATACCTTGAGGCAGCAATTTGCCTTCACTCCAGTTCAAGGCTGAATATCCGGCGTGATAATCAATACAAGGCGTACTTCTGTTGTTGTTGTAATTAAGCATCTTTGTAAGCATGTTGTTCAATCAAAAATCTTTCATTTCAGTTTTTCGCTTAGATCCTTCTGCACCTACTCTGTGCAACTTTTACAATTACTTTTATATTTCATTTACGGAGCTTCATTTTTATTAGTTTTTGGTGCATGCCACTGTGATGCATCCTAGATGACTGCTGGATTTTGATATTCTCCTCAAAGGAGATCATTCTTGCGATTCCACTCAAGAAATAAACTCATATTCAAATAAAACAACAAAAAGAACCCATGCGCAAAGCAACTGTGATCAGTATTATTATGGCAAAATCCGTCACTCCAAAATCAACCGCTTCCATCGTCATTTCCTAAGTATCGTCCAAAAGTAGAAATGGCGGTAGCAAAAACAGAGGTTCGATGGTTAATACGCTGATGAAACTACTTGGACAACACAGATCAATTCTTGGAAATTCTTCGCATATGAGTTATTCACAGTACTTAGAACATAGTTACCCATATCTCGACCATGAATGCGTAATAAACGTTTCGAATGACGTTCGTTGCTCATTTCATCCAGAAGAGAAGGATACTCAGAGTAAAAACGACGATGGAAGGATTATGGCACCCATCCCTATTAAAATTTAATGCTATGTCAGACATTTCCACAAAACCGCCTTCAGCCTGAATGGAAGTTAAGAAGATGAACACTGACAGGACAGATGACTGAAAAATCAATCGAAAAATGCATGAGCGACAAGGCAAGAAATAGCGTTAAAAACAAACCATTTGATCACATTTGGATGGCAAACACGCGTGAAATCCAGTGAAATAATGCTGCTAAAATCTGCGTATTGGTCGACTGCTACTTTAGTGAGTAGGCCATAGCATTTATTATAAAAAAGCATGAAAATGCGTATCGGCAACCGTTGAAAAAGCGGAGTTCCTCACATTTTCACGATGAGGCCGTTTCTTCTTTCCCTGAAGTCAATGGTGAGATTATAAGCCACACTTCCAAGACATCAGCCATGAGCGCTGACTTTTAAAGGTAAAGCCGACACTGACTATGTGGCGGAAGTTCGTAGCTCCATGATTCCTTCTCACTGAGTGGTATACTCAGGAAGAATTGCGAATGATCCTGACTGGGGTTCGAATCAGGACCTCTTGGTTCCAAATCCTTCGTTTCATTGACTGAGTAACCTTAGACACTACTTGTCTCTGAAACAGATGTCAGATTCCATTACTCTTCTAAATCAATTGCTATAAGCGCAAGATTCGTGCAGCAGAGAATTCAAAAGGAGGAAAACATAAAGGAAAACTTTTTTCGCGTGTTATGGAAAGTAACATGGGCTCAAAAATGCATAACCCTCCATTTTAAAGCAGCTTATGACGTTCATGCGGCAGAGTAGTACTCAAGTGTCTAAATTAGAGGGATAAACGAAAAAATCATCCAACGAATCTTCGAACAAAGGATTTTTGAACTGAGGGTCTGCCCAGGCAACTACGTCATTCCTCTGATCTTGGAGAGAAAGCTCATTTCTGGCGCTGGTATCCAAATTGTCCTCTTTCTGTCAATACCGAACTTTTCGACCATCGATTAAGTTGGGGATGACACAGAAATGAAGACAGCTTCGCCATTACCGGTTTCATTTGACAGACTCCTGTGCCGATTTCGATGTCTTGACTAACTGTTGTTCTGAATAATAGTGAACCGAAATTCGCCTTCAAGAGCATATTATTCATTCTGTCATACCGGAAAAAATTTTGGTGATCGAATACATATTAACGTATTAATATGCATTAGTATATCAGCATGCATACACATAAATGAATTAATGTTCAGACTTTTGCACTAAAAATCTAAGCAACCGTGTAAACAAAAAGAATGCCAATGCATCCCGTGGACTGGCTAATACTCAACAACAAATTGCGCCAGCTTGAACATTTTGTGTTGTCATAGCGTCGAATATATATGCTGCAATACAGAATATGTGGCTTTCGCTACGGTAATACACGGATTACAAGTGCTAAGATACCACCGAACTTTAGCCTCACCGACTGAGAGAATGATAAGTACAATCTGCTTGTTTGCCCAACCCTTAGCAAAACAGCAATGCCTTTAAATAAAACACGAAAAACAAAAAAACAAGACGCCGGTTGAGAGAACTGAACCATCAATATCTTCAGTTGATTAAATGTAATGAGTTAAAACTTTTTAGCGGAACACGTTGAAACGTTCTGAAACTAGA